TTATTCTGATGTCTCAGTATAAGAGGTTTCCCTGAGCCATGAAACACTGCCATTGAACTACGGAAGACTGGAAGGTATAATAAATCAAAATTTGAAATCTTTGGTTCATCACACAGAACTTATGCAGCACAAATGGAAAGAACATTTTGAAGAATATAGAGAATAAAACAGGTGTGTTCAGCTGTTTTATCTGCCAGGCCTATAAATTGATTCCATGATTTCTTTGTTTAACTCCAACTCATTATTTATACTATGGTTTCATTTCAGAGTGCAATGAAACACTAAGCTACATAATTTTCAATTGAAAAAAAATTCAAAAATTAGGGTGTTCTACCACTTTTGACCGGTAGGGTACGCTTCCACTCAAAGGTTGGACACACACGCTCATTTAATGGTTTTGCTTTATTTTACTAATTTCTACTTTATAGCTATATTTGTCAAATATATGAAGCGAGATAAAAGGAATTATGTGGCAAAGAAAACAATAATGAACAACTGTAAAATATATTATGTCTTATATTTTAGACTCAAAGTGACATCAAATAGATATTCATTTTTCCATTCAGTGTGGGTATGTACCACAAATATATATTTTTTAAACAGAAGCAATTTTTTTGAAGTATTTCGGTGACAAAAGAAAGATTAGAAAGATTAAGGAATACTAGTTGCTTTACATTATTTTTCTTCAGCAATGATTTGTCCCACATTTGGTATAAACTGGCAAAATTCCAGTGTGTGCAGAATAAATGTTATTATTACTAACAATAATCATAATAACAACAGCTTAATGTCTGTAGAATAATGGTGGTGATTTTATTTTTGTCACCTTTTATGAAGACCGGATGTTTCTCACTGCAGTGGCTGAGCTGCTCCTCCATCAGACTCTCCTCCTCCCGTCAGTCGCCTGTATCATCAAACAGATCTTTATTTTTCTATTCAGTGATTTATTGTACGGCACTACCTAAGAGCATTGTATTGTATAGAATTATTCTTCCTCATACATTCAGTACCAACATTAGAATCAGATTCAGAGAAACTCTATTAATCCCAGAGTGAAATTGAGTTGTCATAGAAGCAAATATGCAACAAAGAACAAGCATTCATACAAATGAGCCTAGAAACAGTTATGATGGATCAATATTAAGACAAATACAGAGATATATAAATAAAAAGCAAAATTATTGAAAGCAAAATAATTAAAACAAAATAGTAAGATTAAACAGAAAGAAAATAAAAAAGACAGAACCGCAAAAGAAACTAAAGAACATTACGTAGACAGGGAGCTGCTACAACAGGCTGCCACTAGGACAGTGCTAATTTAAAGACACATTACTGGTTGGTCCCTGAAAGTTTATTCTGGACGTTTTCAGCGGGAGAAACGTTTCATCACTCATCCAAGTTGACGAAACGTTTCGCCCACTGAAAACGTCCAGATGAACACAATCAAATTTGGGGGATTTACTTACCTGGATAATTGAGCATGCATCAAGGCCTATTACTGGTTGGTGATTCTGTTATTAATTGTGGATTATGCCGTATTTTATCCACCTCATATAATCGTAGTTTTCAGTACACCACCTTCATAAGAAGTAAAACAAATAGCTGAACTCAAATGATTAAACATTTAAGTCCCGAACTGCTGGAAGCTCCAGGCAGACAAACCGAGACGTTAAACACAAGGAACAAACGACAAAAATAGCTAAGAGAGAGAAACCCTGTAAACAGTTATAGAGTTAGGCAACCAATGTAGTTATAATGTACTCACTCTGGATCCCCTCTCAGAATAGCCCGACCTAATGATCCACCAGCGGAGAAGGAGACACGTGGTCTTTGTAGTTGGAGTAGGACTAGTAGAGACAGTGGGCTATCTGACCTCCCAGCATGTTACTGGCTACCTTGCAGAGAGAACAAGCTGTGTGAGGTACGAAAGCGTATATCTTTCCAATCACGCATCAGAAACAGAAACGCGGTCTGCCGGAGAATAGAGGAAAAGCAGAAAGGAAGCTCAGCACAGCCACACGATCTTTGCCGTAGCCGGCTTGAAAATAAATCCTAAAGTTCCCCTTGGAAGACAACACGTATGATGACTGTGGTTATACTCTTTATTCCTTGAGCCAACTTTCTGCTGTTTAAACGCGCCGGGAGATACTCCTTCTTCTTCTTCTTGTTTGATGGCGGTTGGCGACCAAGGTTTCTGGAGCATTACCGCCACCAACTGGAACAGAAAAATAAAACATGTTCTATTGTCTCTTATTGAAAACAAAAGTCTTATTTCCATCTACCATGTTTCCCCAATTTACAGAATGTATTGTTAGTCAGATGTTTATTTCATCCTTCCTTTCATTGAATGTTATGAAGCCACTGGTCAGTTCTTTCTTCTTCGTACTGTTTCTGGCACTGACCTTTTTTTAGTTACTGATTTCATTTCTTTGCTCAGCTCCCCACTCACTGCATAACATTTAAAACTGTTTAACATTTATCAATTATCAATTAAAAATGTACTGTCGACTGTCAATAGAGTTATTAGATGGAGAAGTATGACTCTCTTCAGTCAATCAGTAACACAGCTGATGTTAAAATCTTTTGAAATCACACAAAGCAATTTTGCAAACTCTCCAGAGGAAAAAAAAAAAGTCCTGACCAGCTGCTCTGCAACTGCTTTACTGGCCCGAATCAGTTTGTCTTAGCAGTGCTCTTTGGTACGGTCCTCTTCTGTGGCCACCACACTCACGTGAGCTTCTTTTTTTTTTTTTTTTTGAAACATCGCTCTTGGTTAAAAAAAATTTTATGAACTCACAAAGAGCCTCTTTTACCAGCACAGAAGACTCTGCATTTGAATCTAATCCAGCACACCTGGGGAGAGCAGTGGCTGAATGAAATGTTTGATGGAAAAACGAATTGAAGTGTTGTGCTGCTAAATTCTGAGGTTCAAAATCAAAAATATTTATATAAGAAAATGCCAAGAGGAGACCAGCAGTCCTGAGTCTGTATGCAAAACAAGAAATCTCCATAGCAGTGATACTTGCTCTTTCATATGTGCATTTATTCTTTGCTGTGGTACTTTGATGTTCCTTGATCCTGTCATCTCATTTGGCATATTCAGTTGATATCTTAGAGCTATTTCCAGGACCAAGATTCTGTCTTGAATCAGGTTGTGATCTTAAAGTCACTCTCATAGCACTGATCTCAGACTAATGTACAAAAGTGTCATTTACATATCCAAACTGATCTCCAGTAAGGCTTATGGTGACATTGAAGTTGTTCTTTTGTGTCATTGCACACTGTCCATGAGAGGACTCCTTAGTGAGCTGTACAGCAGAAGTTTCAATTCAGTTTTATCTATACATCGCCAAATTATACAAACAGTCACCCGGAAGTGAAAATGTTGTTCACAAAAAGAAGGCAGCAAATAATTTTCCATGTAAGAATAAATCAAATTACTCAATTAACATATTTGGTTTTACTTACTATTACACCTTTTTTCAGTCCTCTTACATCAGTGACAAAGTATTTACAGGTATCTGCAGAAACATAACTTCACTGTTAAGCTCAGTGTTTATAGAGAGGAGTTTATAACTGTTTTTCTTTTCCCAAAGAAAAGATAGAAAAAAATCACAGGGAAACAGCACTCCTCGCAATATGTGGTTACGGCACAATTTCCCTAAATTTGCACTTCTCTTTTTCAGTCACAGTGCTTTTACAACATTCACATGTTTTTGTAATGCGAAGGTCGCACAACATGTGCGACAGGTAGCATCAAAAGGGTGGCCCTGCCACTCATAGCTGGTCCAACTGGTGGCACCACATGCACTGGCTCCATTGGGGTAATAAGATGTGGACAATAGTAGAAAATCAGGACCACAAGCTAAAACTGACTGAATGCTATCAGAGGCAACTCTTTCAGCTATTCATATATTTTCACAGGGTATCAGGTATCTGGAAAATCCATGATCCAATATCGCATGTTGACAAAAGTTGTCTCACTGTGTCACATAGTGCTCAGAGTTGGAGCAGTAAGGACAATACACTTGTAGCTCCTTTGGTTGCTGCTTGATGGTGAAGGGAACTCCAGTGTGGTGACACCTACTGGCAGATCAGCACCGTGGAGAATGATTGTGGAGATATTTGGCCTTTGATCCTTGCGTCAGTCTTTCTGTGGGTCCCTATCTGCTTTAACAGCATCTCCAAGGATTTCAAACACAGATTTCTGTATCCCCAGCTCATAGTCTAACAACTGTGGGGATGTGGATATGTTGATGGTATTGCTGGGATTTATTTTTACCTTGTTAAATTCTCAGTTCTTTTGATCTTTGGGCTGAAGGAAGGACAATACTCGGTGTATAAATGCTCAATCAACAATTATTTTATTCAATACAATTCAACACTTTGAGCATAAACCATCCGGATGGGGAGACATGCATGAAGAGGGTCACAGCAAAATCTGAAAATGGTGGAGAGTTACTCAAACTCTTATAGCCTCTGGTGGCCCCCACCTAGTTGTAAAAACCTAAACATTCACATTCTTTCTCTCTTA